AGTTTCATGTCAAGTAATACATTGGAACTTCATACTGATGCTGCACAATCTAAAGGCTATGCAGGCATATACAGGTCAAAATGGTTTTATGGTCCATTCCCAGAACACTGGAAAAACATCAATATAATGACCTTGGAGTTTTACCCTATCATCTTAGCAATTGAGTTATGGGGGCCATTGTGGAGAAATCACTCTATACTATTATTCTGTGACAATGAAGCACTGGTTTCTGTGATTAATAAACAGTCAACATCTGATGGTCAAGCAATGAAAATGGTTAGATAGTTGGTTTTAAGATGTTTGCAATTTAACATATTATTTAAAGCAAAGCATACAACCGGAAAGAAGAATATTTTTGCAGATTGCCTTTCTCGATTACAGGTAGAACAGTTTTTGAAAATAGCCCCAGCTGCTCAACCCAAACCGTGCTTAGTTACACATCAATTCCAGCCACAGAACTTTTGGAGTACGTTACAATCTTAGCAAATGCAGCTCTAGCTCCACCAACTTCATGCTACTTACAGCCGCGCATGGAACACTTTTAACTCTTTCTGTACAGAAATAATGAACCAAAGTCTTCGGCCACCACTATCTGTAGCTACAATTTCATTGTTCATTGCCTACATGTTTAAAAAATCATATGCTCCTAGTACAATTTCAATATATCTATCCGCCATAGCCTATGTGCACAAAATCATGTCAATGTTTTTTTTATATAGTGAAAAAAGGCTAAACCAAACCTGCCTTCAGCTAACTTTTGTCTTGCAAAACATCTCACTACCTTGGAGATTTGGTTTAGACAAGTTTCAATAGTTATATACTTGAATGCTCCGCCTACAAAATAGAGGGTCAATATGTTTTTTGGTCAATGATTTTGTCTGTCCTGTCCTGTAACAGGTTGGAAAATTTGGCTTACGATATTGTCTATTGAAAATATGTTTAATCTGTTGCTGATACAGTGTCAGTTTATTAAGTTTATTTAATGGTAAACTTTTTCCATCCGTTGGGCCAATACTGTCCAGTGAGTAGATGCTGTATAATGTATAAGTACAACACTCTGAGAGAACTCCATACTCACTGGCAGTATCTTCATCTCCTAACAGGGAATTATTCAAGTGTGGGAAATGCAGAAAAATGTTTGGCATAAAGTCTCGATGTATCCGTTACATTTCGTACCGTCATTGTGTAAATGAAGAATATTTGGAAAATTATGTGAAAATTATTATTACTCCAAATATCGAATATATAGAAACAAAAGGATTGACTGATTGATTGTTGGTTGCTTAACGTCAAGTGGCAAATATTTCATGCATATTCAGGACGAGAACAAGTTCACAATAAATACAATAGGTAGGTTCTGTAATAGAGGCGTCTGGGATTAAGGTCGGAGAAATTTAGACTGCCACGGGAAATGAGGGTATATTGGATAGGAACAGAAATTTAGCCTTGCAACAGGTCACCTACGGACCCTTCAAAGAGTTGTTGCAAGGGTTCTTAACGTACAAAGAGCGTGGCACTCTCTTTACACGAGGCATCGGATTTAACGTCCCCATTCTGACCGGACGTGGCTGCAAATTTGTACATCCCGCACAGCCAAACGGACGCCCCACTTTGGCAAGGGTTTTACTGCCGGTCGGAGGAAGACCAGTGGTGACCATACTTCTATTCCCCAGTCACCCTTGGGGATGAGGTCGGAGAAATTTTGACTGCCACAGGAAATAAAGGTATATTGACAGAAATTTAGCCTTGCAACAGGTTACCTACGGACCCCTCAAAGAGTTGTTGCAAGGGTTCTTAACGTGCAAAGAGCATGGCACTCTCTTTACACGAGGCATCGGATTTAACGTCCCCATTCTGACCGGACGTGGCTGCAAATTTGTACATCCCGCACAGCCAAACGGACGCCCCACTTGGACGAGGGTTTTACCGCCGGTCGGAGGAAGACCAATGGTGACCATACTTCTATTTCCCAGTAACCCTTGGGGATATGAATAAAGTTTAACATAATTAATAACTCCTTTTAAAGAAAGGCTATTAGTCAGAACAGTTTTCTGTTGTATTTTTTTGTTACTTTACATAGTTGAATTTTTATGCAATTTATTGAACTTTACTAATGATATTGGTAAAATAAATACCATAATGAAGAAAATTCTTGTTTAGATACTTAAGTGAAACATTGAAAAGCAAGACCTACATAGGTAGAATGAATCCTGCTGATCGAACCTAAGCGAAGTACTACCACTACATGTCCCAGGAGGCCTATATTATGGCATTGTTGAATTGTCGTTGACCCCCTCCTGGTTCACTAGACCTAAACAGATGACGAAAATAGTCCTTAGAATACGTTACACAGATGACAGGTAAATAATTTCGTCATTGCTAGTACTTGGTTTTTAAATTATTATTATTATCGTTACTAACAACTGTAAACTCTGCATTTAGTGTATTAATGGAAACATCAATAAGGGAAACACTCGCTATAAACAATTAATTATATCACTATGCCGCACTAGAATTTTTCTTTGTGATATTAAATATTACAAGTATTTAACTGCGATATTAAATATTACAAGTATTTAACTGCCATTCTATGATCGAGCCAGGCAGATGTTAATTCCAGAGGGTTCTCAGAATTTCATGAAATTTATTGTATGCATTGCATATATATTGAAGATATGAAATGTATTTTTTTTTTTTTTTTTTTTAATTTGGGGGGTCTTTTAGGGGGCTTAATGTTTTCAGCCTAATTTTGGCGCAATTTTGCTTTACAAATGACAATTTTTTAATCCACTATTTGTCTGCCTATTGCACAACATCTGATTGTTTTCATAGTTTAAACAAGTTATTGTATAGTTAATTTGAGTTTTCCATTCTTTTAGATATCTTATTTTTTTTCAAAAAAATATTTTGTTCAAGGGAGATAACCCATTACCTCAAAAAATTGAAAAAACCAAAAAAACATCACATTTAAAAATTGCAAAAAAAAATTGACGGACGCTTAAAATTTTATGAAATTGTTTGTTACTGAACATTTATCACCTATATTAAAATTAACTAAAAGATTTTACTCGGGTTCAAATTTGTTTTCATCTAGTAGTAATTTCAAAATAGTGATTTTTTTTATGAAGTATTGGACATATTTTCTTCTGAATTTGGCTCTACTGTATTATCAGAGTTTTAAATTTAAATTTTGTATTAACTAATGAATAAAACATACAAAACTGTTTTAAAAAGCATTAATATTTAAATAAATCAATAATGGATTGGATCCAAAATTTTTAAAAAATGATTGAATACCCCCCTTTTTTCATTAAAAAACCAACGTCATTAGTAAGTCATTTAAATAGCCTGTTGTATACACTTAGTCACTAGTGCAAGTTTGCATGTATATTATTTGCTACCCACACTTTCTCTCTTTATCTAATTTGGATGACCTTTATCAAAAATGTATTAGTATGATTTGGGAAAACAAGGGGGTGGGTGGGGAATTTATACATGTTTCAACCACGAAAGGATAGAATTTAATAAAACTTATGAACAGTCGATAAGTCTTTTTTATACATATAATCTGATTTTGCATATCTAAAACTACATTTTGAAAGTTTTTATGATTTAATGAATAATAACAAATAAAAATAAATGAAATACAAGTACAAGAAACACATGTTGTTCTAGAGTGGAAGGTTTTCTAAACGACTTGACACACCCAGGAATTGTGCAACTTAAATCTCCATGCTCTACTGAATTATTCAACTTGAGTTTTGTTGGTCTTAAATTAAACGTTTCTTCACCATGTTCACAGGGCTCTTCTATAATCTGAAAATAAAAAAATGGGAAATATTTGACATTACTGATTAAAAGCCATATCTTTATATCATGTTTATAAATCTGATATCTTCTACTTTAAAAAATTAATTTGTTAAAAGTTTTTCATATATACAAATGGTATATCTACATGTTTTTTTTTTTTGTAATATTAAGAAAGTGACCAAACAGTCTGTCAATATATACAGGCTGTAAAGAGTCTGTATTTCTAATCTAGGTCTATGAGTAACTTCAACATTCATGACATTAGATACTTTCTTACATTGTGGACTTTAATAGAATTCATGAAAAAAATCTTTTTTTTTTTTGGTATATCTTGTTTTGCTGCTAATTTTTTTTCTGTTTACCGTTTTTCTCTATTTTTTTTCGTTTTTGTTTCACTCTGAAATGCACAAAATAGTAAGAAATATATCAATAAAGGTAATAATTTATGACTTTAACATGAACCAGGAGTAAACCAGCAATTACGGCAAAGTTTGTAAATATTGACTTTTTGATCCTTTTTGCTATTTAAAGTGTCTATCTATCTTTTATAGTTTTCAAGATACATGCAGTAGTAAAAAAAAGTAAAATATTGGTAAAATAGTCATTAGCCCGGTGAGCTAAATATGTTATCCAAGTACTAGTGTTAATGTTGTCAAGGTTATCTGTATGTCTTGTTTGATTTGCTGTTCTTGTTGAGTCAAAGACACAAAACCTATTTACAAACCTACCTTTATCCTACTCTCATCATAACTGAGGTTTCTGGAGATCTTTTCTAGTATAGTATTTGTGATGAGATATCCACTTCCTATACCAAATGCTTGATAGACATCTTGCTGATCTTGAAGTGTTTAATTGTCCCTATCAAAACAGGTGGGTTCTCAACTGAAATGTCAACTAGTGTTACAAAGGTATTTCTAACACCTTTGTTACACTCTAGTGCTCTCTTCAAATCTGCTGGATTTTCAATATTATTTCCTTCGTTAGCAAATTTTAGCACATGCATCCTACAAGTTCCGGTTCTAGAATCACACAAGTCTTTTCCACTCTGTACTTCACTGAAGTTGTATTCTTTTACCCGTAAATCAAACAGAGAATTGTTCTTCCAAATAAATGCCATCAACTGCAAGGAATGGTAGCAACCTGCATTGTCTGATTTAAGGAACACTTCTTGTAAATTTGGCTGCATGGTTTTAATTCTTAACAAAACATCCTTCAATAACATGGATACTGACAACCAACCTTGAGTACCGCCCTGCAATATGCGAAGAAAGGAAACCAGGCTAAAATTTCTTTCTATACAGTTTTCATGATTGTCATCAGGTTGCTTTGGTATTAATACAACTATCACATGCCAACTGATGCCTTGTTTGCCAAACCAATTTTGTTGTGATTCTCGAAAACTATGAGGTAAATACTTCATGGCCCAATCCATGATTATCAGGGCTTGATGGTTTTTCGTGGTTTTTATTAATTCAGTTTTACTTGTTTCTTGGTTGATGGTTCTTACAACATGTGCTTTCCATTCTGATAACTTGCTACAAGATAGATCAAAATCATGTTCCATTTCAGCTTCAGCAAGTGAATTTGAAATATCAGTTGTAACCTCTAAAACTTTGTTGCAAGGAGAACAGGTCTGGGTATGTTCATGGCCACAAGATTCCTTAAAGTCCTTACTCTTATCATCTGTCAGAGCAAACGTAATACAATGATCAGCACAGTTTGAGTTTTTTTTTCATATGAAGCTTCATGTCAAACTTTAAATGTTGATTCACCTTTGCAAGTTTGTTAAGCAGTTCTTTAGAAGCTTCATTAGAAAGCCCATTTTCTTCCAAGCGGTAGACAATTTTTTCAAGTGTTTCAATGGCCGTCATGCCATCTGCAGTATAACTATCAAGCCCCTTTAAAGATTTTTTTTGTGATGCAGCACACACTTTGACTATTTTGTATAATGTTGCTTTGGATATACAGCGATTTCTTGGGTCTTCACAATAGGTTTCATATGCGTTGATAATCCTTGAGGCAATCATAGTTCTTATCATTTTAGGTATCTTTATCTGCAGTCCAGATGATAAGTGAAGGGTTTTAGAACCATACCCTACTGCTTGAGAAAAAGATGGACTAAAAAGAAACTGAATAAAGTGTTGTATCTGAAACTTGGACATTCTAACTCGATGAATCTTTGGTGGGTTTATGATTTGCCCAGGACCATGAGTCGCAGCATATTTTCTTGCAGTATCAATCTTATACTTTGTCAATCCTGGAATTAGCTTACAGAGATCAGTCTTTTTAAAATCGTTCACAATCAAAGATAGAATTTGTATCTGACTCTGATGACCATCTGCTTTTGTATAGGCTTTTACTACAGCCTGGGTCAATGCATCTGCTTCTACTTTGTTTTCTGTTTTACTTGAATAATATTTTTTGAAAACTAATTTCATTAATTCGTCTGTCTGGTTTGGTGCAATACATTCAAATAAATACTGAACACACTCATTAGCTTTCTGTGTGATGTAATCACTCGTTGATTGATGAGTGTTGCTTAATGGTCGAGTCAAGGAGTACCGCAGTGGTTTAAAATTCCCATTAGACAGTATATCCATGCTTCTGTTCAGTTTATCACGAGTATATGTTGGAGGTTTCCATGAGTCTGTGCTAGTTAATTGTGATGACTGTGTACTTGACTGTGATGACTGTGTACTTGATATCTCTGCAAAATTATAAAAGATGTTTAATAAGAAAGTTGAACAAGACCTTGACTAGGTATCATTTTTTCAATCTCTATACACTACAAACTGCTGAGAGTCTAAAAAAAGACCATATGTTGAGCTCAATATTATCTCAGCAGTACTTAACTGTACTCGACTATGGTCTTGACTTTACTTAATAAATATTATTCAGTATTTAATAATCTTGGTGTAGTCTGAAATGGTCTCAACAAAAACTGAATTAAAATAGTCACTTTTAAATTTGATTATATAACTTTCTATGCCCTATTTATGGGCAATATGTTTTTCTGATCTGTGCCTCCGTTTATGATTGTCTGTCCATCCTTTCGTTCGTTAGTCCGTCCTGTTTGTCCCGCTTCAGGTTACAGTTTTGGTCAAAGTAGATTTTGATGAAGTTCTCAATACATAGTTATTGTCTGGAAACTGCAAAAACGCTTATTTAGGGCCCTTATTCCTAATCTGTTAGGACCACAACCCCCAAAATCAATCCCAACCTTCCTTTTATGGTTATAAACCATGTGTTAAAATTTCATAGATTTCTATTGACATATACTAAAGTTATTGTCCGGAAACCATCTGTCTTCGGACGACGACGACAACATGATACCAATACACGACCGCAAAATAAAAAGCTAGAATTTTCAGTTTGGACTAAATTTAGATAGTCCTCTATTTCAAAGAAACTTTCATAAAAATCTACAGCTATCTTCATTTTATATTTATATTACAAGATACCAGGTTATTTAGAAATTTTGTTTATTGCTGTCAAATTTAACTATTTGAATTATAGATATCTATCTGAATTGAGTCAAAACTGAAAATTTTTGTTTTTTATACCTATCAATCATGTTAACTAAGGCCGTGTTCACACCAAACGCCATGTACAGTAAACATGTTTACAATTAGTTTAATGTAATGGACACTGGTTTCACATTAAATTTGTTCACATTTATACACCTTGTTTAATTGCCTGTACATAAGATTTGTAAACTATATGTCATTTAAATGTTCATTACGTAGAAACGAATGCAAAGTTTTTTGACAACTTTTCTAGCAGTAAGGGAACGACCATTTCACTTCAAACCAGATGCTCCGCAGGGCGCAGCTTGATACGACCGCAGAGGTCGAACCCTGAACAGTTGGGGCAAGTATGGACACACCATTCAAGCTTGATACAGCTCTGAATTTGGATTGTGATTAAATATTTGACACAGCATAGGTTTCTGACACAGAATGAATGTGGTCTAAGAACTTAAAATATTTAAATTGGACATTTACCTATTTTGTCTAATATCCAGAATCTAAATACATGGTTAGATTCAGCATATCAAAAAACCCCAAGAATTCAATATTTGATGAAATCAAACAAAAGTTTAATTTTGGACCCTTTTGACCTCAATGTGAACCAATTTAATAACAGGGCCCAAAAATCAAAAATATAAATACATGGTTATATTCAGCATATCAAAGAACCCCATATATCCAATTTTTGTTGAAATCAAACAAAGTTTAATTTTGGACCCCTATTAGGACCAACTTGAAAACTGGGCCTATAATCAAAAATCTAAATACATGTTTAGATTCAGCATATCAAAGAACCACATGAATTCAATTTTGGTTAAAATCAAACTAAGTTTAATTTTGGACCCTTTGGACCTTAATTCAGACCAATTTGAAAACGGGACCAAAAATTAAAAATCTAAATACAAGGTGAGATTCGTCATATCAAAGAATCCCAATAATTCATTATTTTATGAAATCAAACAAAGTTTAATTTTGGACCCATTGGACCTCAATGTGGACCAATTTAAAATCGGGGCCCAAAACCCAAAAAACTTAATACACGGTTAGATTCAGCATATCAAAGAACCCCAAAGTTTAATTTTGGCAACAAAAAAAAAAAAGGAAAAAAAATCCTCCCTCCCCAAATTCTTTTGAACCCCCTTATGATTCATCACCCCCAAATTCAATCCCAGCCTTCCCTTTGTGGTGTGGTACCTTGCAGTACAATTTCAGAGAGATCCATACACTTGAACACAAGTAATTGTGTGGAAACTAGAAAAATGCTTGTTTTTTTACCCCAAATTCCTAAACGTTTAGGGCAATTACCCCCAACCTCAAACCCAGCTTTCCCTTTGTGATATGGAACCTTGTAGTACAATTTCATAAAGATCCATACACTTACACACAAGTTATTGTCCTGAAACTAGAAAAATGATTGTTTTTTGCCCCTAATTCCTAAAATTTTGAGGCAATTACCCCCAAAATCAATCCCATCCTTCCCTTTGTGGTATGGTACAATTTCAGAGAGATCCATACACTTGAACACAAGTTATTGTCTGGAAACAAGAAAAATGCTTATTTTTGGACCCTAATTCCTAAACGTTTTGGGCAATTACCCCCAAACTCAATTCCAGCTTTCCCTTTGTGATATGGAACCTTGAAGTACCATTTCAGAAAGATCCATACACTTACACACAAGTTATTGTCATGAAACTATAAAAATGCTTGGTTTTTTTCCCTTTTTTGGCCCCTAACTCCTAAAATTTTGAGGCAATTACCCCCAAAATCAATCCCAGCATTCCCTTTGTGATATGGAACCTTGTGGTACAATGTCAGAGAGATCCATACACTAACAATAAAGTTATTGTCTGGAAGTTACAAAAATGCTTATTTTTGGCCCCTAATTCCTTAACTGTTGGTACCATAACCCCCAAAATCAATCCCAACCTTCCTTTTGAGGTATTGAACCTTATGATAAAATTTCATAGAGATCCATTCACTTAAACTAAAGTTATTGTGCGAAAACCAATGTGTTTTCGGACGACAACGACGACGACGCCGACGCCAACGTCATACCAATATACGACCGCAAAAATTTTTTGCGGTCGTATAAAAAGGGGATGGAAAATATTCCGATCCCGAATTTGATAAAAAAAAATCTGGTCATACAGATGATAAAAAAAATAATCTGAATCAAGAGTTTCCCCATATATTACTATATTATATATTTGATTGCTAGCATCGAAAAAAAAACAGAATACAAACATTTGCGAGAAAAATTCTGACTCAAGATAAAAAAAAAAACCAACATACCCCTCCCTTTTTTTTTAAAGTTAAATGGTTGCTCCTTTATGAAAGCCATTTTGATGATTTGCAGTAGTTTAAAGATACTAAAGATGTCTCGATTATGCATTAGAAAAAGTAGGCTGCAGCAGTGTGCTTACTTACAAACAAAGAAAAAACATTGAGATGTAAGGATCACTACATTTATATCTTTTCTGTTTGTTTCAAATGGTATTTCTTCTCCAGGGAGTATTTGACAAAGGGAGGGGGTAATGTTTTTTTTTTTATTTTTAAGTGTAATTTAACGTATCGGAGATATTAGACAAACAATACATTTACCTCACACTTTTGGTAACTCCTTTATGAGTGAATCGTTGTTTGAGTAAAGACCAGTGGCAAATATTTCTGTGTACGTCGAGTCGGTTTCGGAAAGACCTTTTCAAATGAATTATGTGTTCGGCAATGATGCTGCTTTGAGTCTTGATAAGGGTACCGGTTAATAAAGCTACGCAAAGTTTTTTTTTTATAACAAATGAATATATCAAGTTTAGACAAATATTTCTGTAAAGAACTTTATAAATAATTGTTATAAATATCAATTTTATTCCAAAATCGTTTCTTCCTTAAATATACATGGTAAAATTAATGTTCTTAATGCCTAGTTTTGTGTACACTTAACCTACACAAGGCCTACATTGACTATCGACTGTGTGTAGACAAAACATGATTTAAACTACATGTAAACATTGAGTTTTATCAATGGGAACGTAATTGTGTTTAGTTTACGTGTGAGTTACACTAACACAACACCGAGTTTAGGTCAATGTGAACACGGCATAAGTCCTTAAATTTGACAGCAATACACCAAAATACAAAACAACCTGGCATTCTGAAAGATAAATTTATAATAAGGATAGCTTTAAGTTTGATGAAAATCACACTATAATTTGTTTCTATTCTTAGCCCCCCAAGGGTGACTGGGGAATAGAAGTATGGTCACCATTGGTCTTCCTCCGACCGGCAGTAAAACCCGTGCTAAAGTGGGGCGTCCGTTTGGCTGTGCGGGATGTACAAATTTGCAGCCACGTCCGGTCAGAATGGGGACGTTAAATCCGATGCCTCGTGTAAAGAAAGTGCCACGTTCTTTGCACGTTAAGAACCCTTGCAACAACTCTTTGAGGGGTCCGTAGGTGACCTGTTGCAAGGCTAAATTTCTTTCCCTATCCAATATACCCTCATTTCCCGTGGCAGTCTAAATTTCTCCGACCTGAATCCCTTAATCTATTACAGAACCTACCTATTGTATTTATTGTGAACTTGTTCTCGTCCTGAATATGCATGAAATATTTGCCACTGGACGTTAAGCAACCAACAATCAATCAATCAATCTATTTTTAGCAACAGCATCAATGTTTGTTGGTTGGCCTACATAATTGACAAAAATTTGATAATACATTAATTATGATCCTGGCTAAGATTAAACACAATCCAATCAGCAGTTTCAGGGAAGATTTTTTTAAAGATTGACATTTACAATAGGTCTCTACATGGAAATGAAGATTTATACTGTATTATTTATCAAACTTACCAGAACTATAAATCTGCAGACTTGAATTAATGTCAGCAGCATCAGGATTCATTTCATCAACTGAAAGAGAGAATTCATATAATAATCAATACTATGATTTAAAAAAAAATCTATAAATAATGAGCATCCCATTAATCAGTTAGTTTGCAATTGTTGGTGTATTGTGTAGTTCTTTACAATAATGTAGTTTTGATATATCCATGATCAAAAGGATGATACATTACTATAGGAGTGTTTTGATAAATGAATATGAACTGAATACTTAACAAAAGTCAGTGAAGTGTGAAATGTAGGTCATTGTGACTCAAGTTATGCTGAACAGTGTTGTACTATACAAGATGACTGCAGTGAGTACATATCATTGATATATTACCATATATATATATTTATTTCTATTCCGTTATATTTGGAATTTCCCTATTCTATTTCTATCTTTAGACTTGTGGTACAAGTTTGGCTAGTATGTAAATCAGAAGTAGTCTGATGTTACTGTTGTTTTCTGCACGAATATTTCAAGGGCGGTAATACGGGTGGGGTTTTATAGGCATATATAAGTCCTGATTACGTTTGATTATTATCGATGTGCTCCAGTAACTTTGATAGACGAAGTTAACGTTAAGCTCTGCATAATATGTCCAAGGAAGGCTCCGACCATGATGAACGCCGTGCTACTACTCAACATGCTGAAAATAGTAACGAAACAGAGTTAAGTACGGACGGGGCTATTTCGCTTTTCACTTCAGCTTTAAACAATGCTTTAGAGAAGCAAAAACATTCCTTGATTAATCATTTCGAAGCTCGTTTAGGAAAAAGTGTTAAAGCAACCGGTGTCGACCAACCAGAATTTGTATTCCAAAGTGAGGGAATTAAAGTGCAACATTCGTTTAATACCGAGCGTCTGGAGAGGCTTGCTGCCGTTGAAAGTTGTATAAAGCTTGGAAACGCTTCCGAAGTTAGTGAAATTATTACCCAGGAAAAGGAAATCATCCGTAAGCGTAACAAAATTCTAAAGATAGCATGGATGGGACACGGTTAAAGAGTACTTGGATAGTCCGTTGGCCGACAATAAAGAAGATGCTAGTGATTTGCGTGCTGCTATTTCCAGGGCTTCTCGTAAAAGAAGTTCCAAGCCGTACAGTAAACCAGAATCTTCCAATAGTGGTTCCGGAAAAGGAGAATTCAATTCCAGGAGTTTTTTTCGTGGCCTTGGCCAAGTCAGTGATACCGAGTTCTCCAAAGTAGGCAAGTCAGAAAGTTACAAGTGTTTCTATTGTAACCAGCCCGGGCACTTTGCAAGGAACTGCCCCGAAAAAAGGATTCCTACAGCGACAGTTGGTGCACCAAAGTTCCAGGAACAGAACACAGGAAAGACCCAGTAACAAAACAGATACAGACATAGATGAAGTTGAGTATTGTTTTCAATTTGTTAACAAGTATGAGAAAAAATCTTGTCAAAATCTTATAAATGTGAAAGGAAATTTAAGAAAACATGCATTGTTTTGGAAAAATGTACTTAACGCTAATGATTTTATAATGAATGTTATTAATTTTAGTTATAGAATTCCTTTTCTGAGTGAACCACCGACTATTTTTCTAAGTAATAATAGATCCGCGTTAAAACACTCAGAATTTGTGGAAAATTCTATTGAAGAACTTTTAACTAAAGAATGTATAAAAGAAGTAAATCGACCATTTGTCGTTAATCCACATACTGTGTCGGTAAATAGTACGGGTAAAGAAAGATTAGTCTTAGATTTGAGACATGTTTATAAATTTGTCGAGAAACAAAAAGTTAAATTTGAAGGGGTTAAAGAAGCTATGACATTTGTAAATTTTAGCGGTTTTGGGTTTAAATTTGATTTAAAGTCTGGTTATCACCATATAGAAATTCACCCTGATCATCAAAAATATTTAGGATTTTCTTGGCAATATGGTGATACAGTGCGTTATTTTACTTTTTCGGTTTTGCCTTTTGGACTTTCATCAGCTGGTCATATATTTACCAAGACAGTACGTGTGTTAGTTAAATACTGGAGATCTTTAGGATTTCCCATGGTGGTTTATTTAGATGATGGTATGGGTACAGCAGAAAATTTTGATACATGTTTTGAATTATCGAAAACAGTAAAAAATGATTTACTGCTTTCCGGTTTTATTGCTAATACAGAAAAGAGTGTCTGGGAACCAGTACAAAATATTGATTGGTTAGGTTTTGTTTGGAACTTTAAAGATTGTACTTTAGAAATATCGCTTAAAAAATTATTTGCTTTAAAGCTGCTAATATCGAGCGTAGTAGATTGCAAAACTATTTTGACTTATAGATGTATTGCTAAAATATGTGGAAAAATCATTTCTATGATTCCTGCTCTTGGTAACGTTTGTCAAATGATGACGAAGCATATGCATATGCTAGTCTGTTGTAGATCTGCATGGGACGATGTCATCCCTATAAATGACAACATTTTGAAGGAACTAAAATTTTGGTATTTTGAATGCGAGTCATTATCTTTCCAACGCATTGTACCTATAAATAGAATACCACAGCGTGTAATTTTCACTGACGCTAGTCAGTATGCCGGAGCAGGGTTTATAACGAATGATAACAAAATTGTACATTTTATGTTTGATGGTCATGAAAGAAACAAAAGTTTTACATGGAGAGAATTGAAAACTGTAGAAAAGAATATTTCTTCTTTTAAATCTGATTTAACAGGAAAATTTGTTAAACTTTATACAGATAACCAAAATGTAGTACAGATTGTTAAAAAAGGTAGCATGAAAGTAGAATTACAAGACATTGCTTTAAGCTTATTTCATATTTGTTTGTCACATAATATTTTCTTGGATGTTGAATGGATACCTAGAGATAAAAATACTTATGCAGATTATCTGAGCAAAATTTTTGATTATGACGATTGGGGTGTTTCCTATCAAATTTTTGTATATTTTGATAAATTATGGGGACCATTCACATGCGATCGTTTTGCAGATTCGAAAAACAAAAAAGTAGACTATTTTAATTCTAGATATTATTCACCAGATACTTCCGGGGTTGATGCTTTCGCATATGATTGGTCTGCTCATAATAACTGGTTAGTTCCACCAGTTTGTTTAGTTAGCAAGTGTTTAAATCACATGCGGTTATGTAAAGCTAAAGGCACTTTAGTTGTACCTAAATGGCCATCAGCGTTATTTTGGCCTATCTTAGTGAATAGGTTTTCAGACAGATTTAAATCTTTCGTTATAGACTTTAGAGAGTACGTAAAACCTATGAACTTTTTTACAAAAGGTTCACAAGAAAAGAGTATATTTGCACAGAGACCTTTTAACAGTAATGTATATGTTTTGTTGTTGGATTTCTCGAAGTATTGAGATTTATGCATTGAATGTTGTATACAGACTGTAGTTGATTTAGTTTTCTGCGATGGTTATTTGCCGCAGTTATCAGATATGAGACTATATTCGTAAGAATGTTAAATTTAACATTGTGATGTTTTAACTGCAACAATTAGATATGTCATTGTTAACATTGTTGATTAATTGTTTATGAATACAGTGAGGGTTAATGCCACTGTATATATATAAGTATATGACTTTTTTAGATACTGTGAGGTTGAATGCCACAGTAAGTGTGCGAGGAAAATGCCGCATTCATTTGTTTGCGAGGAAAATGCCGCACTCATTTGTTTGCGAGGGAAATGCCGCATTCATTTGTTTGCGAGGGAAATGCCGCATTCATTTGTTAGCGAGGGAAATGCCGCACTGGGTTGTTTGCGAGGGAAATGCCGCATTCATTTATAGTAGTAATGTTAATTATATTTACTTTGTTTATAGTTATTACTTGGTATTCATTATTATATTTATTTTACAGATCAATGGAAACAATTTGAGTGTTATGCCAATGATTCGAGATTTGCCAGTATCATACGAGATTTACCCTCTTTTGTCGAATCGTCTAGATCAAATTCTACAATTAAGAAATACAAGTGCTATTTTAAAAAGTTTGAAAAATGGTGTGTTTCATGTTCACTTCAGTGTTTACCAGCGACAACTACTACGATTTCTATGTATATAGGTGGACTCATTCAACAGGGATCCAGTGTTGCGATTTTAGATGCAAGTTTTTATTCAATAAAATGGTTTCATGACTTTAATTTCAAACATAATCCTTGTTCAGACAAATTCCTTGGTCTTATTTATGAAGGAGGAAGAAGATTGCTAAGTAAACCTATAAACAAAAAAGAACCTATTACGCCAGATATATTAAGGAAAATTGTTTTGAAGTTCGGAGATCATAATAATCTCAAAAAATTGCGTGTAGTAGTATTATTTCTGTTAGGATTTTCTGGATTTTTGAGGTATAGTGAATTGGCTAACATTAAGATGAATAATATTGAGTTTCAAGTCAGTCATGTTAAAATTCGCATTGATAAAAGCAAAACTGATTTATACAGAAGGGGTAATTCTGTTGTTATAGCTGCAACAGGTACAGATTTATGTCCAGTTTTTTGGTTAAATAAGTATATCAATTTAGCTGAATTGAGCAAAAATTCTGATAGCTATATTTTCAGAGCACTGTCTTTTATGAAATCGAAAGATGTTTATAAATTATGTAATATAAATAGTCCATTGTCCTATACCAGAGCGAGAGAAATTTTGTTAGAGAGTTTATCAGATATTGGTTTAGATACGCTTAAGTTTGGGCTTCATAGTTTGAGAAGTGGTGGCGCTTCTACGGGGGCTAATAGAGGAGTCTCTGATAGGTTACGTAAAGTCCACGGTAGATGGGCTTCTGATAAAGCCAAAGATGGGTATATTAAAGACAATTTAAAATCTCAAATGGCTGTTTCCTTGCATCTTGGCATATAGTTCTCAAATTATTTATTCCTTTGTTTTATCGAAGTTACTGCGAGCAAACAAACCTAAATTATGAATTGTCTCTTATTTAGCCATGTATTTAGTATAGAAATGTTTTAAATTCGGACGAATTCATGAGGGAGAATTTAAATTTATTTCTATTCCGTTATATTTGGAATTTCCCTATTCTATTTCTATCTTTAGACTTGTGGTACAAGTTTGGCTAGTATGTAAATCAGAAGTGGTCTGATGTTACTGTTGTTTTCTGCACGAATATTTCGAGGGCGGTAGTACGGGTGGGGTTTTATAGGCATATATATAAGTCCTGATTACGTTTGATTATTATCGATGTGCTCCAGTAACTTTGATAGACGAAGTTAACGTTAAGCTCTGCATAATATATTACAGTTATGTTTGTATTGATATGTATTTAGAGGACATTGTGAATGTATATAGATGGAATTGTGGTATATTTTTGTAATTTGTAAAATGTTTACAAGATATTAAATGTTGTTTCGCTGAGAAAATAAGAAAGTTACTGCGAGCAAACAAACCTAAATTATGAATTGTCTCTTATTTAGCCATGTATTTAGTATAGAAATGTTTTAAATTCGGACGAATTCATGAGGGAGAATTTAAATATTACATACTAACATGACTGACTGATGGAAAAGGGTAAATCTAAAGTTCATTTGTATTGTTGTCAGGTCAGTCAATGTTTCACGATAAAAGTTCATAAAACTTGAAATTAAATTGAACATCCAACATGACCAACTTAATAAGATCATATTCATCATTTAAGAATTGAATGCTTCTTTTTGTAAATTCATTGGGGTGTAAAAGCGTTGACCGAAGTACATTTTGTATGAAGCGCTTTATTATTTAAATGTGTACATGGTCAAAGCTTTTACAACCCTATGAAAATACCAAAAGAAGCATTCATTACTTGTAATTACATTTTTTTTGCTATGATCATGAAAACAAAATTACCATGATTACTATCAAGTTTTTTCCTTTATTTACCTGGGCACTTTATTGTAGAAGCACCTGTCAACATGAATGTTACAATTCATTTTGAAATGAAGTTGATCAAGGAATAACGTGAGATTGCAGTTAACTAATCAGAATAACATATTATAATGACACATACATCTAATGTAACTATAAGCAAATGTATGTATAAACCAATTTTTGTGTTTACCGTAATCTTCTGATGGATATGTGGCTGGTGAAAAACATGGACTGCAAGGTACCATCTGTTCACTTCTATTAATATTCTGTTCATGAAAATCATTGCAACTGTATGGAACTCCACTTAAATAAAAATAGAAATAGAAGTTAAAATTGTATCATGTTGTATACTGTACTTGAACTTAATGTTGAGAATTTCGCAATCGGTAGATATTTGCTAAAATTACTCCATTCTAAAATGCAAATAATTTAATATGCATACATGCATATATATGGTTAATCTGATTAATAAAAAAAGAACTTAAATAAACTCTTCAAACCACATACTTATGTTGTGCTTGGTTCATATCTGTCATATTTTTTTTTGTAAATGTTTTGTCATAAATAAGGCCATTAGTTTTCTCAGTTGAATTGTTTCCTATTTTTCAAGTCTTGGACTTTTAGAGCTAACCATACGGTACTGTATTAGATTGTATCATTGTTGAAGGCTGTATGGTTGCATCCACTTCATGTGAATTTTGGTAGTCTTATTGGCAATCATACCACATCTCCTTTTTTTATACCTAAAGAAGTACATACAGTGTGTATTTAATAGTGTAAATATTTGCACCTATATTAACATTATAATTAGTACAGTTATATTACTGTTGCATAATAGCATACATGTTAAGCCTACCAGGTCTTAGTTTTTTGCAAACCTCACACCTCCTGAATTTGCCAGGATTTATACATGTACTTCACTTTTTTTGGACAAATGGCAATGTTTTTATCAGGGAATATTGATATGGGGGAGTGAAACCAGCTTAGATATTTCGATGTTTTGTTCTGTTCTGGTATATACCTCCGTTAACTGTAGTTCTCTGATTTACATTTGATTAAAAGGAAATTATCAAGGCCGGAAATATTGAGCAACCTTTACAGTATTCTGTAAATTTATACAAGCAAATTAATATCCATTTACAAGAAATTATCATGATGATTATGTATATAGGTACATTGAACATGTAGTATGGCCTAAAGAATCAAAGTCACATGATATTCTTATAAATCTTCCCTTATTTGCTGTCTAAAAGATGAAAACAGGTAGTAAATGTATATATTATAAACCTACCAATATCATTTTGTACATCTACAACTGTATGGTATGTTTTCTTGTGTCTTTCTACACAACTTCTGCATAAACCTGTCATAAATGTAAATATAGAAGGTGGATAAAAACATGTTATGGTAAGTACATATGGTCTGACTCATGAATATGATGATTAATCTTAAACATTTCTTGTAATTAAATGACCTGTGGAACAAACATTATTTCTAGTTTATCCTGCATAATGATGATCACTTGATCGCTTGATGAATTTGAGTGTAGGAATACAGGTGAATCCCTCTATCTGGTAAATGAATGACGTCATAAAGGTGCATATAATTGACAATTTTTTTCCGGTGGGGAACATACATGTACATGTAACATACATAACATAACACCCCATCACATTCTGCATGTACATGTATGTACATAAATTAGGCCATTAGTTTTCTCGTTTGAATTGTTTTACATTTGTCATTTTGGGCCTTTTATAGCTGACTAGGTGGTATGGGCTTTGCTCATTGTTGAAGGCCGTAAAGTGACCTATAGTTGTTAATTTCTGTGTCATTTGGTCCTTAGTGTAGAGTTGTCTCATTGGCAATCATACCACATCTTCTTTTTTATATAACTCGAAAGTAGTCTATTATAATTTAACTCAATTTATTTTTTAACATGTTTAACAATCTGTTTTTACTATACATTTAGAATCAGTGGCAGATCCAGAACTTTTCATAAGGGGGGGCCCACTGACTGACCTAAGGGGGGGGGGGGCCGCTCCAGTCATGCTTCAGTGATTCCCTATATAATCAACCAAATTTTTCCCACAAAAGGGGGGCCCAGGCCCCCCCTGTATCTGCCTATGAGAATGGTGTTGTTAATCTCATAAAATCCTTGTTTTTCATTCTATAATGTGGTAAAAGCGACATACATGTATGTAAATAAATGGAATGATAAATTGTGCAAGTTTTTTATCTGCTAAGAAAAGAAGAAAAAAGATAAAAGACATAACTGGGAGGTATAAACTGATCCTGCATCATGTGAATGGTACATGTATGGGGAAACCAACAATTTTTTGCATGGCCTCAGAAGATTTAATGTTTTAATTCTGCAGTGGTTCTGTTTGAGCAGTGCAATTACATTGGCTCGAGTCTATGTTTTGGTTTTTTAACTTTATGTCACCTTAATGTGCCATTGGCAATGCCACAGTGGGGGATCAAGAACTTTTAAAAATGGAGGGGGGTTGCCTACTGACCAAATAAGGTGATGGGCAGTGACTTCCAAACATTTCAACTAGTTATTTCCAGCAAAAAGGGGGCTCTCTTTGAATGGGATCCCAATGCACATGATGCAAATAATTTGGGGTTTTTTTTCACGTATAGAAATAGCATGTGCACAGGTTTACAGGATTGATTGATTGTTGGTTGCTTAACGTCCAGTGGCAAATATTTCATGCATATTCAGGACGAGAACAAATTAACAATTAATACAATAGGTAGGTTCTGTAATGTAGGTCATCCGGGAAGAAGGTCGGGGAAATTTAGACTGCCACTGGAAAATGAGGGTAAATTGGATTGGGACAGCAATTTTGCCTTGCAACAGGTCACCTACGGACCCCTCAAAGAGTTGTCGCAAGGGTTCTTAACGTGCAGAGAGTGTGGCATTCTCTCTACACGAGGCATCGGATTTAACGTCCCCATTCTGACCGGACGTGGCTGCGTACTTGTACATCCCGCACAGCCAAACGGACGCCCCACTTTAGCGAGGGTTTTACCGCCGGTCGGAGGAAGACCAATGGTGACCATATTTCTATTCCCCAGTCACCCTTGGGGGTAGGTTTACAGGATAAAATTTGAATATCATGTGAAAATTTCCAACAAATCTATGGTTTTCATGAATTATTCTTAATTATAAGATGACAGTTATAATTTATCAATGGCGAAAGTTAGAAAAGCAATCAAGTTCAGATGACCAACAATAATCTGTTTACGCTATTTTACGTACATGTACATGTATGATAATGTTGTCAATTAATTTCATTAGCAATGTAACATGCCCCCTTAGTTTCTAGTGAAATTTTTCATATCACTCGACTCTGATGAGAAAGGAAATTATCAGTCAGTAAGATCAATTTTTTTTCATGAAATAGCGATAATGTGTGTTACAGTATAACTTATAATTATATAACCATGTATTGTCCCAAAATATAGTTCAATTGTGCTCAGCTCAAACATGTCAAAACAGGAATAGCCTCACATTTCATCCATTTTTTAAGCTTACATAAACTTTATACTTGGAGACAATGAACGTTATTCCATATCATATGTCTCATTGCAACACGCAATATCTAAATGCAAGCAATTCTTACCATCTCCAACTGCTGTGATGGTTCTGTCATGCACCCATATCTCTTTTGCCATGGCAAGTGTTATTCCCCGATCTGGCTTTTCTTTACTTGACTTTGGGTGTAAGGGATGTGCACATGTTCGCTTACATCTATACCATTGTGTACTAAGTTTGTCTCTGTGAGAGTCACATATTGTCATTTTCATAGTGGCATTTTCCACCGTAAATAAACCAGCACGATACAGTATTAATAAACCCTCTGGTATTGATACATGCTTGTCTTTGGACCGGATTTAAAACGAATAAGATGGTCACTGATATCACATCTCAATTTATATATAATTTGACAATCTCCTTCACACTTCACTGCATCAAACGATCTAGAAAAGCTACATTCTTGTTTAGCAACAAGTGTTTCCATGGGGGCTGCCATTTTGATTGTGACAGGAAAGGTTTCAAAGGGGAGGTAATCAGTAAAAATACTGGTGAGGAAACTGTTGAAAATTTGGTTATTTTGTTCACCAAAAAAATATATTTACACTGAAAACCCAAGAGAGAAAAATTATCAATAATTCATATAACAACTATATTTTATATTTCATTCAAAATTAGGGAAAAATAAGCGTCCCGTATTGTTTTGTCTTAATTTAAAAAAACCTCACAATGTCAAAGGTCATGTGACTTACTCTATTTTGACCTGCTTTCAAGGGAGGGAGGGTTTTACTATGAGAGAGAAATTTTATTTTGTGCATCAATCTGAAGACACTTGATGTAGTTTTATACTTTTTAAATCCAATTTTAAAGCCCAAAAGGTATTCTTGGGGGTTCTAAAAGGACTAAATTCAGCAATCAGAAATGGACCAAATATGATGGTTATACTTGATCACCCAATAAAACAATGAGGTCGATATTTAAATTTTTTTTTTTTTTTTTTTATTTAAACACAAATATATATTAGTTTTTTATATATTTCGAGATAAAATAAAATACCCCAGGAATTGATATTCCTTCAATTTGCCTGGTTTTCTCGTAGAATGACAGTTAAATAATGAAAAATTATTTTGTCGTTGTTTGTAAAAGAGTGGCAGTGGTTTGTAAAAGAGTAACCGGTTTGAATCCGCCAGTGTACTTGATCCATCTTGGAAGATGAAAATTTCTAGTGTATTTTATCCAGGTCTATGTAAAATATCCACCACTCCTGATAAGATTCTAAAGAGAGTTTTTAAAAATGATTTGGTCGTTGATTGTAAAAAAGTGGCTAAAGATACCAGACGGCCTTAGTAGCTACGATTAGGTAAGCGGACAAAATTTAAAGAGTGAAAAGTTTATTTAAAATTTTATGTGGAAACAGGTCACGTGTAGGTTTAACTGGCAGAACTTTATTGATAATTGTTGAACCACTTCTTCTAATAGTTCAGGTACATGGGAACAGTTCACGTGTAGGTTTTACTGACAGAACTTGTTTGATAATTGTTGCACCACATCTTCTAATTATTCAGCACCAGCCAGCAGTAATTCACAGTTAGAAATTGTTTTTTCCTTACCGTCTTTAAATTCCATCATTATACTATAGTGTTCATCTGTAGATTAATGAAACCTTATGGAGCTTTTCTTTAGATTACGGTGTTTCGTTCAAAGTCAGCAAAACACCTGTAAC